TCATACGAGTATGATAATTTTCCAATGTTTTCCAATGTTCCGAAAGGAGACTGCGCAGTAAGAAGATACCACAGGCACATGCCGACTATAAATGTTCCAAGTGCCCAGAACACTATATTAAACGTTTGGTATTTGTTCCTACCTAGTTTAAAATCTACAACTATTTAAAAGATAACAATATTTATATCTAAATAAAAAATAGAACTACATAGGATACCAACAAAATATATTAGTATCTTTTTTGCTTTTACCGTGCACCGACAACCGTAATCCCAAATTTTCATGAAGGCACATCACATTTCTAATTTTTTTTTATTATTATTTTTTAATTGACATTACATACATACATACAAATCTATGGATAAAATGCGTATATCAAATAATACTAGAATTACCCGGATAGCTACATATTTGTGAATATTTCGTTGTGTTCTGGACTTACCCAGCTAATACTGTATTATCTTAAATGAATAGCCGTTTCAAATTTGGAGTACTAATGGATATGTTTTTTTTTTTTCGCTATTTTAGTTAAGTATATCAAGTTATCCATATCTAAGTTTAAAATACACCTACTGCTTTATTCATTTCACATTGGATATATTTGGAATGAACCGGATAAATCAAGAAGTTAACAATCTTGCCTTTTATCTAGCCAATTTGTATAATGCATATTATAATATCTGGATAAAACTAGTTGTATCCAATTTCGGGGTTTACTTGTAACATTTATTGGCAATCAAAGTTCGAATGAAAATGTGATAATGGATTCTTCTTACACTCTTGAATCCACACTGTGACTGCTCGAATTTATTGTCTACTTTTTTTGAAGAGGTTTTGTTCCAGTTCTCTTTCGTACACTTTTGAAGGTATATATATGAGGGTTAAACCTATATAATGACTATTTAGAGTGTCATCCGCCACTCCTTAGTCTTTTTGGTATCTTGCTAGTTCCATGATTTAATTGCTTACTTTACTAAGCATTTCATTTCCTTTTTCGCCTATGTTTTTTAGCATATTCATTGTTATTTTATTCTTTTCTTAGCCAACAAATTTCACTCTCTTTAGGTTATATATTATTTCTCGTATTTCATCTCTTTTTAGTTAGTTTTAAATTTGTTTCTCATTTGGAATTTCTTCTGTATTATATATTTCATTGCCTGCGTCTTTTTGGGGTTTGTTGCTTGTTTTCTAGAATACTTTCTGTTTTTATTTGATCAGCTTAGTCTTCTTTAATTTTATTATAAAATCACTCAGCTTATATCTTTCACTTATATCATCATGTATTTTACATTTGTTCTCTGTTGCGTGTATTTTTGATAGTTTTTGGCGCTTTGGTTGTTTAGGTAATTACTCCACCAATTCGTGCATTTCTTATTCTTCTTCTTTGCGCACTTCTTTGTTCTTCGATAAAGAAAAAATAGATTTAGAAATCGAATAGAAAAAATAGAAGAAATAGATTTCCTCGAAAGGTTTTGTGGTGAGTGCTCAATAACAAAGCAGTCCCCGGTGAGTATGTGATTTTGTGAGATATATATATATATATATATATATATATATATATATATATATATATATATATAAATATATATATATATATATAAATATATATATATATATATATATATATATATTATATATATATATATACGAGGGAGTAACAATTAATTGGAAAGAAATGAATAACTAAGACATGTTCGAGAGAGATTAATAAACCTCATGTGAAAGTTAGATTGTTTTAGGGCTCAGCCCTTAGTCCTTATTTCTTCCAATTAACGTTGTAAGAGGTAAAAAGGAAACTACAGAAGGCGAGTGGTTGTTTAACCTAAATATTTCAATGAAACGGGCAAAAAAACTTCTGTGTAAAACTCGACGTTCTACGACGCAGATATCCAGCAGGTAATTAAAAGCTATCAAAAATTTATATTAAAAACAAGAAAATATACATAAACAAATAAACGAGCACATGTTAAGGCGCATACTGACCTTATTGTGCCAAATTTTATTTGCACGAATGCTGTGTGCACAAAAATACTCAGGTCTGCACGTGTGCCCACATAAAGTTAACCCACACGAAAGCTATCCGTCAGTATTTGTAAATGTAGTGGATGTACCCATACACTGCACGAATTAATTATATTTAAAAATTTATATAATTAATTATATTTAAAAATTGTTTAATTCGATTTTTTTTTTAAGAATGGAGTAGAGTAACGAGCAGTGCTTGCAGTTAATTGGCGAATATGAACAACATCCTATTTTATGGAAAGTCAAACATCCTTAGCAATAAGAAATTCTATGTAGGGTAAAATATTACAAATAATTTAAAAATATAAAACATGAAGATCCACAACTGTTATATACCATCGCTTACCCCGCTTTTTTTACATCGCTTACCCCGTTGTTCAAGTATATTATGAACTATTACGTAGTAGTACTACTTCCGAAACACCCCTACGCATACAATAATTGCGGTGAATCAAAATTACTCGAACGAACGCTATATTAGTTAATGTGTACGGCAGAAAAAACTGCTTGCGTACTGTATGCGTAGTGTTTGATCGTGACTCGTCGCGAACCAAATTGTTGCGGTTTATTCCACGACTTCAAAAGTAGCTCGTCTTTCAATTTGGACGGCGCTACTAGACGCAGCGAACATTGTTATTGTCTCATCAAATCGACATTGTGTGAATGACGTGTTCCTTCCTAGAGAGACGTGAGAAAACAATAAACTGATTAGTGTATATTTTTATTTTTGTAAGAAACAGAAACACGATAAATCAGTACCCAAATGATAAATAAAATGAATCATTTCGCATATGTGTGTTCGTTGTTGTTTTTATCGCTTTCCATGGATCGAGATAAGTATGCGATCAGTACGATGTAGATATATTTTCAAGGATCTGTATGGGTACCGTTTGACTCGCATATCTGTACGCGTCTTTACGAATTACACGAACGTATGTGCGCGCAGAGTGTTCGTGCAAGCAAATTTGCTCAAGTCAGTACGCGCCTTTAACCATCCAGTACACGCACGGACTACATACGTAATCCATTGAATTTTATAATATTGCTATTCGGACTATACTGTATATAAATTTGTCTCCTTATGCCTACAGGGCATAGTATAAGGAACTGTTTTAGTATGCGACTGTCGCTATATGTGTCTAGATGTAAGAAATGGATTGTGTTCTGTTGAAATTTGAAATTTGAACATTAAAATCCATGCGTATATTTAAGTTACCCTAAACTAAAAATTATATTTTGTATTCGGCAGTTAAGGTAAGTTTTCTGGGTGAAAAAAAGTAAGAAATATTTATTTTTTATTTTTGTTTTAGTTATCAGCAATGTCCCGACCAAAAAAGTAAGATTCGGCGACTCTAATTTTGAAAAAATGCTGATGGAATGGAATAATGAAATAGAGGACGAAAAGAAGCCGAATATAGATGGTAGTGACGACGACAATTTCTCAGATGACTATAATGTTGAACAATATGTATCTGTGATATTCTAGAACACGAATGTACCATGTCTAAACAAGAATCGGAACAAGACTATGATGAAGAGGTTCAAGAGGAAGATGACGAAAAAATAATTTCAAAATACTATCTTGACAAAGACAAAAAACGAAGTGGAGTAAGATGTGTCCTGGGCCTACTTCAAGAACTCGTGCAACAAGTATCGTTTTGAAGTTACCAGCAGGACCAATAAGAGAAGCTAGAAAGGCAAAAACACAGTTTGAATGCTTCAAATTTATGCTAGATGATAATATCGCCACAAAAATTACGCGTTGTAACAACATCTATATTGAGAAGTTAAGAACAAATTTCCAAAGTTACAGAGATGCTAAAATGACCGACGTCGAAAAGATTTGGGGACTTATTGGTATACTCTCTTTAGCAGGTGTTTTAAAATCTGGAAGACTAAATGTGGGATAAAAAGAAAGGTAATGGTGTTAAAGCTATTTACTTGAGCAATTGACGAACAGTTGATGAATAATTACTTGTTTTTAAGGGAAAATGTCAATTCCGCCAATACATTCCCAGTAAACCATCCAAATATGGTATAAAAATATTTGAGTTAGTAGATAGCAAATATGCAAATACCTATAATATGGAGATTTACTGCGGAACACAACCAACTGGTCCTTTTGAAACTGATTGGAGTAACGCAGAGGTTATTAAAAGAATGGTTGAAGCCATAAAAGGAAATTGCAGACATGTAACCATGGATAACTGGCTTACCACTATACCATTGGCCATGGACTTACTTCAAAAGCGAAAATAAGAGGGAGCTACCATAAGCTCCTAAAGAAGTTCCGACTCGATCTTTGGTCCTTGGGCGTTGTCATATTTGTGGACGAGCAAGGAGCAAGAGCAAAAAAATAGTGCAGCAGCTGTGATCAGTGGACTTGCCCATAACATTTAAAGCAAATATGTGTACATTCTGCTGATATAAAACAGAACATGCAGTCAACAGAACGTTTGGTTATAGGTAACTTTAATTTATAGTATTTGTTTTTTAATTTTAAATTTTTTTATTTTTTTAATTTAATGTATATTTTACTTATAAAATAAAACCAATTACAGATTGCAGTGGTATCATTGAAACCTCTTTAAAACAATAACACTATTTTTAAATAATATTACTTTTCCAGAGCTCCCGTACGTATGGATTACTAATGTAATCCACGCGTGTAGTCACGTAAAAAAACAGAGCGCGTGTATTGGATGGTTAAAACCAAAAAATGATATCAATTAATCGATATGGCTATTTTATGAGATATGTTAGATACAGGATAGGGGATGTATTATATAAAAAGCATTCAATATCAAATGATCTGCTAATGAGCTTTATATAGAAAATAACTAAAAGAATTGAACGAATTATAGACGAAATATATTTCGTCCCTTTGTGTATCATAAAAATTTGGTATTAGATATTTATGCTATTCATTATGTCTTTTAATGAAACGTATTGTATTTCTTCCTCTTCTTCGTTACCATCACTATCGCTAGAAGCATCTTCTTTTTTCAATTTAGAGTCCTCATCTTTATTAAATGTTGGTTCCGCTTTATTCAAAACACTAGTTTGAGGATCTTCATCCTCATTTTGTTTCCTTAATCCTGGAGGTTTTTCTGTTAATTTTTTAGTATCTTTATTTTCACCTGAAGTGCTTGTTTTCTTAATTTTCACCATGCTTGACTTTTTCTGACAGTTCTCACATGCAGGTTTTTTAACTTCTTTCAATAATCTGCACATTGCACATCTCGAGCCATATCGGTAAAGGTTAGAGGATTTACCAAAAGACCGTTTTAAAGCCTTACCAGTTGGGTTTGTCCTTTGAGAAACTCTGCTCGAATCTAAAGGTTGTCTTAGTTTTTGTGGTCGCTGTTGTCTACGTAAATTTACACAGTTTTGACATAGTGTTTCCCCCTTTCTTGCAAATTTATAGCATCTTCTACAATTGTTGAATCTAATATATTTTCTAGTGCTCTTTTGTTGATCTCCATCTTTTGAAGAATGAGTTAAAGTTCTACGTTGTTGGATTCTGTTTTTAGAGGCACCAACTTCAGTTTTATTTTTACATTCTTTTTTTGTAGATTTTTTTAAAGGATTTATCGTTGTGTGCATTTTTCCTCTAGAAGAATTTCTAGTATTAACAGTCGACTTTAAAGTATTCGAAGAACATGTTACCATTGGCTGATTTACAAAAGAAATAGTGAGATTTTTTAACTCCCGTTTATTTCGCCCTACTTTCTTTTCTTTTTCTCTGAAATCGGCAGTTTGTGTGCCTACGTCAAAAAACGGACCAGCCATTCTATTTAGACGATTAGAGAAACGATGGTACCCTAAAAAACATTTTTATTAGTATAATGTTTCTATCCTTCTTTTTTACAATATGCTATATAAAATAATATATGATAAAAAAGTAAATATTTTTGCACGGAAGCGAAGCTCATTGCGATAATTAATTTTCCAATGACACTATTTTTATTACTGTATAATTTACACTACACGTCACTTTAGAGAAGAAAAGCTATAACTATAATTGAGAAGAAAAACCAATGCTTACAATACCAGTCTTGTAATACATTGTTTTTTTTTTGTTTTTTATAATTATGTTTATTTACAATCTACATCATTACATAGTATTAAGTAAATGGGTTACAGGTTTTGCGCGTGAAGGAAAGACATCCAATGATGTCTCACTTTACTCTATTTTGGTTTTGTTTTGAAGTAGGTCTTGGGGCCAGGTTGTATCTAGTCTTCTTGTGGCTGGACCATTGTTGAATAATTCCCTTACTAGCTCATTTTCATGGCGAATGGTACGTTCATTTAGTGACTTTGTGGCTCGATCTAGTTCTTCTCTGATGAAAGGAATCTTTAAGTCGTAGTGTTAGAAAGATAAAACCACAAGAGAACAAGTCAAAGAGGAGATCAACAACAAAATAAACAGCATGGTAATATCAGACATTAATCAAGAAAACATACGTTTGGATGATATATGAAATACAATTAAAAATATCTGTAATTCAGTGGTAGATAGTAAACTTAAACCAGAAAACAATATAAAGAAACAGCCATGCATGTAACAAGAAATATTAGAGCTAATGGAAGAACCAACAAAATACAGAAATAAGAATGAGGAAAGGTACAAAGAAATAAACAAAATCATTAAGAAAAAGGTTAAAGAAGCAAAAGAATCATAGAAATAGATTCTCTAGAACAGAAGCATTGCACTTTTAACCTACATAAAAATATCAAAAACTTAACTGCAGGAAACGGATCACGAAGTCATAATTTAATACTAGACGAGCACGAGACGAAAATTGAAAACAACCAACTCAAACTCTTAACAAGTCTACCGAACAAAATCTATGAAACTGCAGAATTTCCTACAGATTGGCTAGTTTCCACCTTCATTCCTCTCCCCAAAAAGGCAAATGCCACCAGATGCTCTGATTACAGGATTATAAGCTTAATGAGCCATGCACTAAAAATCCTTTCTGTTATTCACTCTCGCATATATAGAAAACTTAAAGAAAACATTAGCAGTGTTCAGTTTGGGTTTAGAAGCGGACTGGGAACGCGAAATGCCCTATTTTCCATACAAGTATTGATACAAAGAGCTTGAGACGTAAATTGCGAAGTCTACGCATGATTTATATACTTTGAAGAAGCATTTGGCAAGGTGCAACATAAAAAATTATTTCAGATACTGAAAGAATCTAGTATTGATGGCAAAGATTAACGCCTAATTAAAAATTTATACTTACAGCAAAGAGCGACTGTACGAGTAGACAACGAAACCTCACAAGAAGTCGCGATAAAACGGGTAGTACGTCAGGAATGCATTTTGTCACTGACGTTGTTCAATACTTACTTAGAAATGTTGTTCAGGGAAACTATTGATGGTTTAAGAGAAGGTATAAAAATCAATGGTGAAATCATAAACAATTGGGGAAAAAAGATATGCGGACGATACGGTTTTAATTGCTGATAATGCGGAGGATCTGCAAACATTAATACACTGTGTCGTGGAAGCCTGTGACAAACACGGCATGAAATTAAATTGTAAAGACCAACATTTTTATAGTAAGTAAAAACGACGTAATACAGCACCAATTCACAGCTAATAATAAACCCTTGAAAACAGTCGATAATATTATCTTGAATGCAGACCAAATAAGGAATGGGACCACTCAAAGGAACTAAGATGTCGTATAGAAAAGGCGTAAGCTGTCTTCAATCGCCTCAGAAAGATTTTATCTAATATGCGCCTGAACAATGATATAAGAACACGAGTCTTAAGATGCTTTATATTTTCTACCCTTTTATATAGAGTCGAAGACTGGAGCTTGACGGCAACATCCAAACCATTATAAGCCTTCAAAATGTGGTGCTACCGCCGAATGCTCAGAATTTCCTATATGCATCATGTTACAAATAACACCGTGATTCAACGTATGAATAAAGATCTGGAAATTATGCGAATCTTGAAAATCATAAAGATAACATACTTAGGGCATGTGATACACAATGAGAAGTCTCAACTAAGTCAACTAATTTTAAAGGCAAAAGATCTCAAGGGAGCAGAAGGACATCGTGGTTGAAGAACATCAGACAGTGGGCAGAAATGACTACCATACATATATTTGGATCAGTTGTCAACAAAGTTGTATGGACCACCGTGATTGCCAACATCCACAGAGGATAGGCAACAAAAGAAGAAGAAGTGTTTGATTAATTACGTATCATGGTGTATCACTATCGATCTTATCACTTTAGACTGTAATCTTTGCATAATATTCAGCGAAGTTTTGGTTTGCACAGCCCCATAGGTATAGTCCGTAGAATCAGATAGGTTTGAGTATGGCTTTGTATAGAAACACTTTTTTTTTTTTGATATTAAGTGTTGATTTATGTCCAAGAAGCCAATACATTTGCCGGAATTTTAAGTCGAGCTGCCTTCTTTTGATCTGGATATGTTTCTTCCAGTAATACACTGTGAATGATTAGTTTATTAAATTATAACATAGATCGAAAAGTATTCTATATTTATTTAATAATGATTAATACAGGTTTGGACGCTTTTCAAATAAATCATTATGAGCGTAAACCTTTATTATAATTTAACCCTTTTTCTAAAATCTATACAAGAGATCTGTAAGATTTGTAAGTCGAAATTTAATTATTATTATTATTATTTATTATTATACATAAGCCATGGCAGAGAAACTAAGTCCCTATTATGCTCAATAACAAATTTCAGTAATAACCTACTAGTAACTAACAAAATTACAAATAAAAGAAATAAAATTAATATTTTTGGTTTAAAAGAAAAACAATATTTTAGTTATAATATAAAACAGTCAAGTCTGTTTTTGAACGAGATCTTGTAGAAAAATTTTCTTTCTTTAATTTAAACTGATAACCTCTAAGGCGTTCATTTTGACTAATGGTAAACATTTCATCGAGATTTCCAAAATTGAATTGTAGTATTTTAAAAGTTGTAATTAAGTCTCCACGTTATCTGCGAAGTTCAAAAGAAGTTAGGTTACCCATACTAAGTCTTTCTGCATGAGAAGGTCTTCTCCGTCGCAAAGAAATTCGAGTGGCTTTTCTTTGGACGTTTTCCAACAAAGTCTTGTCTTAAACCAGATCAGGATACCACGTCGGTCCAGCGTATTCAAGTATGGGTCTTACGTACAGAGTGTTTACAGAAGTTTACAGAATTATTGCATTGAAACTCTCGAAAAATACCTCCGAATAAGATATAGTCTGGAGTTCGCACGTTTACAAATAAAGGTAATATGGTCGGACCAAGTTGGGCTGCTGTTTACGATACCACCAAGAATTTCGTTATACGAAAACACAGAATCTAATGGCTGTACGTTAATAAAGTACGGCACAATTGGGTTATTTTTACCAATTCGAAGCACTACACATTTTTCCACGTTTAAGGGTAGTAATCACTGGGAACGCCAAGTTAAAATAGAGTCCAAGTCCATTGGAGGGTTAGCTGGTTTGTGATTGGATTGGCATATATTTTTGTGTCATCAGTGTAGAACAATATTTTACTTGAGAGATAATAAGGAACATCGCTGTGTAAACCATAGAAATCAGAGATCCAAGGACAGAACCCTGAGGCAGTCCACTTTCCACTAACCTGTCCTCTGAGAAAGATTCGTTAACTCTAACTTTGTAATATCGATCTGTCAGGAAATCATCTATCCAACGAAGTAAAGTACCGCAAACTCCGAAATGTTCTAGCTTATGTAGAAGTCTGCGCTTAGGTTCACGGTCAAAGGCATTAGAAAAATCTAGATAAACAACGTCAACCGGCTGCGAACTGTTAAGGGATGACGTCCAGTCATTAACACAATGTAAGAGATTGGTTAGAGTAGAATGACCAGAGACAAATCCATGTTGTTGTATTGGAATAACATGTTCCTGGAATAGGTATTTGGTCATTTCATCGGAAATAATGGCTTCCATAACTTTGGCAACTACTGGCAGCAAGGTAATCGGACGATAATTGTTGGGGTAGCGTTTGTTGCAATTTTTTAAAAGTATGGGTAACGGAAGCTAATTTTCAACTAAAGGGTAAGGAGTTTGCATAATTAACGTTAAGGATATTGCAAGCGTGTCTGCGCACCTTTTTAACAGTTTTGGTGTTAAACCATCTAAACCAGGTGAAGCAGCTGTGTGAAGTTTAATTAAATGTTGTTTGACACGATCTACTGTGAATTCAACTTGCTGTAAGGATGCGCCGACACGATTACAATTAATAGCAGGTAGATAACCATCATTCGATTTTTTAGTAAAAACCTGTGAAAATGCTAGTAGAGTGTCGGAAGATTCTTTGTCAGAAGAGCATAAATCTGGTTGGATTTTTGAAATAAAGGAATGGAAACTTTAGACGTCATGGAGGAAAGTATGTATTTGTAGACTTTTTTAATGTTACCACTTTCAATAACATTTGCTTCAAAATTTTGTGTTAGGGTTTTTAGAGATATTTTTAAGTTATTTGAAAATCTGCGGTGGCTTTGGAAATCGCTAAGAAGCCCGGTGTGTTTAAATTTTCGCCATAGATGTCGTTTGTGATTAATTTGTTTAATTGCTGTTCGACTCTTACAGAAAGTAGTATTGTAGAAATTATATAGTGGACTTTATCGAGAATCGCAGTCCAGAATATTGAGGGGTCGTTTAAGTTTGCAAAAAATAAATGCCAATCGATTTGAGAGAGTTCAATGTCAACTTTAGAAAAGTCGGTAGTTAGCATATGTTACAATATTATTTTTGCGGGGGTAAAC